CCTTTTCCAAGGCCACTATCCCAGCGGTGGTAAGAGAACCACCAGAATTGAGGCTTTGGCTGTCCGGCTGCTCCACCTATTGGTGGGGTGTAGTGGAAACGGGGTCCAGCGTCCCAATGCAGGTCAGTGTTGAGGCTATAGTCATTGTTCTATTCTACTCTGGAGCACCCAGTGTCCCTTGGAGCTGCAAATAGTCCCGTTCCCATTGCGGGTCTCCTACTTGACATCTGACCCAGCCCCCACCTTGAAGTCGTCTGCTGATCTTCCCAAGATTAACTCCTAGGTGTCCCCAGCCCCCCTTGCGTTTCTGGCAGCTTTCTCCCTACGAGATTTGACTGCGTGTGATATTCTTGAGCCGTTCCCCTGAAACAGCTTGAGGTGGTGGTAGGACCAGACACAACAAGCTGACTGAGGGCGTCCTCGTGTAATGGTGAGGAGCAGCACCTGCTGGGTACTTCCCTGAGAATCACAGGCTCAGCGTCCTTTTTTTTTTAGCGTCCTCTTTTTTGTCTACGCGAAGTCTGTGAACTGAGTCTGCTCTTATCAGCACCACTACCTAGCACTAGAGGGAGTGAAAGAAAAAAGAAAAAAAAAAAAGAGTTCGATCCGGGCGATGCAGGCCCGTGCCTTAGCAGGCTGAGGACTGACGGCCTGTGTTATGCATGAGGTAGATTTGCCATTTCCCCACCTTGTGAACATCCGTGCCCCTGACTTTATGCCCTTGACTCCAGAATCAGCGAACACCCCTCTCTCGAGGGCAAAGGGTACAATTATCCATACAATAGAGCTAAGGGAAGCTGAGGACGAAAACGTGTGTGTATAGGGGGGGGGTGGGGGGCTCGGGTCACCACTCTCCAAATGCAGAAAAGACAAAAAGTATTGCGGCCTTCCGTACCTGTGCTTGTTCTAGCGGAAGATACGATTTCCGCTGCTACACATTTGGTGAGTAGTGCGGCGAGGCCCTTTGGCTTTGTCTATTTCTCCTGGCCGCCTCCTTTCCCCCCCCCTCTCCTCTTTTTTTTTTTTTTTTTTTTTTTTTTACCGCCGCAATCAACCCATTTATCAATCCCGTCGAATCTATTGATTCGACAGGATCTTGACAGTTCAAAATCCTATCAAATCAATAGATAGGTGCATTATTCTAGATTAGATAAGTTTATAAATGATTAGACTTAGAATTTGAAGTAGTCCTTTTCATTACGTTTTTTTTTTTTTTTTTTTTTTNTTTTTTTTTTTTTTTTTTTTTTTTTTAATTTGGGAGCCCCCTCTCTTCCCAACGCTCGTGTGTGGGTTATTATTATTATTATTATTATTATTATTATTATTACTATTATTATTATTATTATTATTATTATTATTATTATTATTATTTACATCAGTCAGTTCAGATCTCTTCACCCAGAACGCCAGGTAAAAATAGGCGAGGTGAGAGAAAAAGATATGGCTTAAAAAAAAAGAAAAAAAAGAAAAAAAAGAAGAAAAAAAAAGATATGGCTATCCCCCGATGAGGAGAAGGCAGCTAAAAAAAACAAACCGGGCCATACTTTTCATTCGTTCATTTTTTTTTCGGTGTTTGTGGGGTATTATAAGCAAGTATTTTATTTTATTATTATTATTTTTTTTCCTCCGCCCCTCCCCTCCCCCGCGACCTCTTCTTTTTTTTTTTTTTTTTTTGCGACCCCTTCTACCCCTTCCTTCTCCAACCCTCTCGCTCAATGCTCCTCTGCGTTTCGGATTGCAGCAGTGTTTCCTAATCGGGCAAGGTATCACGTATCCGGGTGTCTTCTTTCTGACCGTCCATCCCACTTATGATCCAGCTTTTTTTGTTTTTTTTGTTTTTAGCTTCTTCCTTGCTGATTACGTTTCCTAATTGGGTAAGGGCGTTCCACTTACCATCCTGTTCAGATTCTGCCTGCCGTTCTGATTGCATTTCCTGGCAAAGGGGGGGTTCCACGTACCATCCTGTTCAGGTTCGTCCTCTCTGACTGATTACATTTCCTGATTCGGTAAGGGGCGTTCCACCTTACCACCCAGGCCAGATCCTTCCTTCGGCCTGACTTTTCCTAATCGGGCAAGGGGGTTCCACGTAACCATCCAGTGCCAGGGTCTTCCTCTCTGGCCGTCGATTCCGCTTATGGTACCCAATGATTTTTATTTTTATTTTTTTTGCAGAAAAATCAAGGTACCCAATGATTGGCCACTCATCTGCGCTCAGTAATTTATAAATATTCTCAATTAGGAAGGCAATTATCTGCCAATCTTCGCACCGCAATGATTGATTGATTGACTGATTGACTGATTGATTGATTGATTGATTGATTGACTGATTGATTGATTGATTGATTGATTGATTGATTGATTGACGGGCTAATCATGAGCGCCACCTGATCTGATCAACAGCCCGCTGCTTTTTGGAAAAAAAAAAAAAAAGGAAAAAGAAGCCCAATCCAGTCCAACGTGCAGATCCCAGCCAGTTCCCTTTCTCTCTCCCCCCTCCCCC